AAGATCGTGGGTTCGAATCCCGCTCGTGCCATTGACTTTTTTATCTCAACTAAAAACCTTAATTAATTGTAATATATTAATTGGTCAAGCGGACCACGAAATTAGTGAATTTAAAATTTCAAATAAGTTTGATCTCTGTCGCTTTTGACGCAGGAGCCAAATTATTAATAAAAATTGATTGATTGAAACCCAGATAAAAGTAAATATGTAAAATATAGAAATTACGACGCCGTGTTTCTTTGGAAAACAAATTTATATTTTCATGCGCGTTGGGTGGTTTTGTTTTTCAATGAAAAAGCACTTTTATCTTAAGTGGGGAATTATTTAAAAAGAAATCTCTTCCTCTCACTCCACCTAAGCGGAAAATCGTCCAATTTAACCATTTTAGCCATTACCGTGATATGCAGATTACTGTGTTTGCTCGTACTATTTACATAAAATGTCGGACATGGTTTGTTATTCCTCCATCCTGTGCAAAATCCACCCGGGGTAATAACAAGTATTAAAACGATTAAAGGACCTGTACATCATCGAGTTAGAAAAGCCCTAAGGAATATAAAGAAAAACGCCTTTCTTCGTTTCCGAGTTTTTTCCCCCCGAACGAAATCTCCATGGACACGCACGGCGAAACAAATGAACCCACGCGAGGGCCCGTAATCGGTTAAGTTCCACAAAATTGCACAAATTGTATTATGCTATCCGAGGAACGGTGGGATCCAATTTCATGCAACAGTTTTACCAGATTGAATACATTAAAACGGCCCCGGTGCCGACTCTTTACCTACCACCTGGCCATTCATGGCAAAAAAAACCATCCATCTTTCGCAATATAAATAAAATATAATTAAACAAAGTGATAATCATTTTTTCCGGGAGAAAATCTCATTGAATTCTTCAGCTTTCCACATCGGAGATAATTAATTTGGATCAAACTGCCGACAATTGCCAATCAAGAAGCCAACCACCAATTCACCATTCACGATATAATTTAAGATTGATTAGCTTTTGTACCCCTCTCGAAGGGTGAATAACAAAATTTAAAACAAAATATCGACAAGTATATTTTATTTAAAAATGCGGCTTGTTTATTGTTAATTGCTTATAGAAATTATATTTTTTCAAAATATTAATCAATGAAAAATGAATCGCAAAAGATACTTTTCACGGCATTTTAATAATAATATATTTTATAGAATTAATCCAATTAACAAAAAATGTTTAAATATAGAAATACACAATATAAAAGCAAAACTAAGAAAACAAAGGAAAAAATTACTTAAGTTTAAAAAATATGTAAAGTAAGAAAACAGCTTACTCGTGTTACAAACTTTGCCAGTAGAATCTACATTCAAAAAGGAACCAAAACGTTCTACTTAACTATGGTCTAAATCTCAACAGTTTCGGAGTTATTCCACTTTTTCTGATTTTTTAAGATTTCACGACCATTCTTCAAATAAACAATGATAACTCCACAACTAAACCGGTTTTGTTCAAATCCGTTGATACAATTGAAAACTACGTTAAATTTCCAGAAAGATGTGATTAATACTAAACTTGCAAACGTTGGTGAATTAAGCGTTTTAGTAGCCAGAATTTTGAAAAAAAATTTTCTTTCAAAGTTGAAAAACTTACTCTGGTGATTATAAAATTCCAAACCAAATTAAGTTGAAAAACCTAAACTACTATTTCCAAACTTAGTGACTAACTAAACAATTTCAGAAAACGTACCCCATTTAATTTTTTTTAGTGTGTACTTGTTTTTTAATTACTTTTTTTAAAGATGAAGAAATTGACGAAGGAAAGGAAAAAAAACCCTGGTTGACGGTTAATTAATTAAAAAAATTAACTGTAAGTTTAATTAATTAATTTAAAAAGACAATTACACCATTAAAAAGGATATTAAATGGAGTACGTTTTCTGAAATTTGCTGGTATCTAGGTTTGGAAATAGTAGTTTCGAATCACCATAGTAAGTTTTTCAACTTTGAAATAAAAATGATTTTTCAAGCTATGGCTACGTTTACAAATTTAGTATTGATCACACCCTATTGGAAATTTAACGTAGATTTCAATGGTATCAACGGATTTGTTCAAAATATTCTAAAACAATCAGAAAAAGTGGAATTCAAGTCCGAAACTGTTGAGATTCGGACCATACATAATTAAGACTTTGTGGTTTCATTTTGAATGTAGAATCTACTGGCAAAGTTTGTAACGATCTGTATACCTACAAAAAGATCACATTTATAATTGTTACAGTAAATTTTTAAATTGCCATTTTAAAATACTATAACACATTTGAAAATATAATAAAATAATATTAGAAAACAATTATACAAAAATGTTGATTTTTAAAGTAAGTAAAAATGAGTTTATGCATATTTAGTTTAATTATATTCAGTAAAATCATTAAGAAATATTATAAAGTTAAATAATTTATAATTGGATACCATTTCATAACGTTATCTATTTGAAAATTGGTGCATTGTTCAAGGCACGTCAAACAGTAAACGATCGATGCACCAAATAATGTCACTACCCAAATTGGTGCACAGATCAGCAATGAACATAACGACAATATCATGCGGAGTATCATTATTTATGGGTTATATCTACGATTATGTTGCTGTTTACAATCATTGCACCAATTGTACTGATTAAAATCAATTGATGCTCTATGTATACAGTTGTCCACTGACTAATTCAACGATTATGTTGAAGAGTACAATGTACCAATTGTACTGATTGAAACCAACTGATGCACTAACTTCACACTTGTGTACTGATTATTTAGCCGATCATGTTGATGTGAACAATGATTGCACCAATTATATTCATTGAAACGTATTAATGCACCCTTTATACCATTGTCTATTGATAAGTTCTACGATTATGATGATGTGTAGAATCGTTGCACCAATTGTGTGATTGAGACGTACTGACGCACCAAATATACTTGTACAAACATATCGATGCATTAACTATACAACTGTCTACCGATTGCACCAATTGTACTTATTGAAACATCAATGCACTAATTATACAATTGTATACCAATTAATTCAACAATTATGTTGATGTGTACAATCATTGCACCAATTGTATTAATTAAAACGTATTAATGCACCCTTTATTCCATGGTCTATTGATTAGTTCTACGATTATGTTCATGTGTACAATTGTTGCACCAATTGTGTGACAAACGTATTGAAGCACCAATTATATCATTATCTATGGGTTATTTCTACGATTATGTTGATGTGTACAATCATTGCACAAATTATATTAATTGAAACTTATTGTTGCACCTATTATACCATTGTCGACTGATTAATTCAACAATTATGTTAATATGTACAATTATTGCACCAATAGTACTGATTGAAACGCATTAATGCACCAACTATACAATTATCTATCGATTATTTCGACCATCATGCAGATGAACCAATTTTATTAATTGAAACGTATTGATGCACTCATTATACAATTGTCTATTGATTAGTTGATTTGTACAATCATTGCAACAAGTAGAATGATTGTAACTATTACCGCACCAAATATACAACTGCCTACTGATCGCCGATTTTATCGATTGATACAATCATAGCACCATTTTCAATAATTGAAACGTTTTGCTGCACCAATAATATCATTCATTGCTCCAATTGTACTGACTGAAACCTTGTGAACAACCAATTATACCATTATCTACTGATTAATGTATTATCAGTATAAATGTAACGTTGATGTTAAATTGTAAAATCGGAACAGCAATTGTACTGATTGAAACTGAAGGTTAATGAAGAACGATAAAGTATACCGTCATCGATATACAGATTTATATCGACGATATGTGATTAAGAGTTTTTACCAATTTACACGTCACCGACTACGTTATTATTACTGTTCTGTTCAATCTTCAACGGGCAACAAATCAATGTACGATGGACCAATGATGCTTATTTACATAATTTACAGTACACGAGGGAAATTTTCTGTATAGGTAATTTTTTTCATATCTCATCGTTGAAATGTTTATTATTGTAATTTACGGACCAATTAATTTGGAACTAAAGGTAAAAGATGAATCGTAAATAAGTATAGACGTGAAGTAATCAGTGCATCAAGGGTGTGCGCTATCGACTTTTCAGCTGAAAGCTTTTCATGATTTTCGGACACGATAGTTCGAAAGTGTGGTGCAATCACCATAATTCAAGTTATATGGTTAGACTCGGAAGCTTATCGTGGCGGCCATGAGCACTGCTAGTCCTTGACACTGTTTTCTATCGATTAAGGCGACAGACAACATCGCCGAACGGTCGGGGCGAAAAGTCACTAGTGATGATGAAACATCAATAGTAAAATTGTCTCACATTATATCAAAATTTGACTTGTAACGCAAAATATTAGTGGTTTGAAGAAAGGCGGTAATGAAAGTAAAAGGTGAAGCTTAATGAGCTTATGTTCCTAGTGTGAAGTGGTGTTTGGTTTTCCCATACAAAGAAAGAGCATGGCCAAGGGCTAAATTATTTAAGTCTTTCTGTTTTTCATGAGATCAAAAATAAATACGCATACGAGTGTGCGCATCGTTAGGGATGTTTAAAAATTTAAAAGAAAAAAAAAGAATTCTTTGTTTACTTACATTCTTGTTTAAAGGTGAAATACTCCGTGAGATGCCGGCATTCGTGATTGCCTCTAAGTAAAAATAGCGTCGTCGGATGGCACAATTTCAGAGCCCATAAGTATAACACACACTGCAACAAAAAAATAATATGTAATAAAATAAATATAATTTGAAAATCATATATTATGATGTATGTAAGTTATTAAACTTAAAGACTTATTGGTTGAGATCTCAACACGACAGATAAGAATGACACATCTATACGGAAAACAAACACTTTGAGCCCTGAAAATGATCTCAATGATGATCGAAACGGTGGCACGAAAAAAAGTTTTTCTAAAACCTACGTCACAACCAGAACGCATCTCCCGACCTCCAAATAATCTTAAAGCTTATGATAAATATGATGGCAGTCAGCGAAAGAATTAACAGGATAAAAAGCAGTTAAAACCAATGAAAAGATAAAGTTATAAAACATCTGAGGTGGAAGTTTTACCCTTTGTGCGCAGCTGGGTAGCTTCGCAAATGGCCGAATATACTTTTTCTTTTGTCAGTGCTTCCCTCAGTCCTATAATCCTATCCCTTGGATACAAGAGGGGTTTCCAGGCACAAAATAATGATGTAGCCTAGAGTGTGTGGCACTCTGCATCACAAGTCGAGGGTTGTCCTTGGACCCTGGGCGTAGGGCATAGCGATTAGTCACTCATGTGGACTGGTGAACCAGATTCTGTCCAAAAGGACGGGGAGGCGCCAGATCAACTGAACTACAGGCGCAGTAACCTTCCAGGCTCAATTGCTTCTAGTTCCAGGTGACCCGGACAACTGCGCTTATCTGGGGGTGGTTAACATTTCCACTTAAATCCAAACATGGAAACACCCTTAAAAGGGCAAGTGGGGAAGAAACTCGTCGGCACCCGGACGTTTTTCTACCCGGGAACTTAGGTTTAACATTACCACCAGTAAGCAGAAGTGCGTCGCCTCCTTGAGAAACGAACGACTAAGGCCATGCGCCAGGTGAGGTCGTCGAAGCCCTCGGGCGATGCTACGCAGCTCGTCCAAGGCTCAAAACATAATCGAGTAACTTTAGTTAATTAAATAATTGACAGTCCAGTGGGATAAGATACAATAAAAGGCAGAGAATTAGAGCATTTCAATATACCAGGATTTACACCGATATGGAATTTGCTCATGGGGGTCTAATTGACCTGGGTTGCTCGTTAATTAGGTTTGTCGTGAGAATTTCCTATGGGTCGGTGCTAGCAAATAAAACTCGGTAGTGTCGTGTTCAGTGAAGTTCGAATAATCTAGGGGCAGAATTATTAATTACAGATAAACCTGAAATTGCCCAATTTGTCAATAACGATTTTAAGTTTAGTACCAACTGATGACGCATGAGAGAAAAAAAAATGGACAATTGATTTTGGAGCTTTGAAATACTCTTTTGTGCTTTTTAAGAATTGCCAGGTGGAAAATAAACGTCAATTTTTAGATCACAGGGGAAAATTCGGCAATCGTTGAAACTTAGCCAATATACCGTTGCAATTCAGTTTTCTTTTTTCTCTAAAGATAACAAAAGGCTACAGTTAATCCTTCATTCGATCTGGTGTATTATTGGATTTGGAAGAAAATCAATTAGCAACATCCGAAAGAAATGTAATAAGACGGTAGTACAATACGACTTCAAAGACAAAATAAACCTTGATTAATCGAGAATATCTATGACTTTTACATCCTATGGAGAAAGCAAAATCAGGTATATGTAACCTAACGCGTCCTTCATCCTAACCTAACCCTACCTTATCAAGCTAACCTAACCGTTAACATCTGTATGACTCTGGGAGAAAAATTGCATTCACACATCCATATAATTTATCAACACCGATAATAAATACAATAAACTAATACAAACATTAAATCATAGATGTGTGAACTAACCATTCCAAACCTAACCCCAACCTTGCCAAACAAAATCTAACATAACCTAACCATTCCTATCCTAACCCAACCTAACTATTCCTAACTTATTACAACCTAACCTAATCTAAATCAAGCTAACCATTCCATACCTAACCTAATCCAACCATTCCTATAGTAACACAATTTAACCATTTCTAACCTAATCTAAATAAAGCTAACCTTACCAAATCTAACCTAATCTAACCATTCCTATAGTAACACAATCTAACCATTTCTAACTAAATCTAAATCAAGCTAACCTTTCCAAATCTAACCTAATCTAACCATTCCTAACGTAACACAATCTAACCATTTCTAAGCTAATCTAAATCAAGCTAACCTTTCCAAATCTAACCTAATCTAACCATTCCTATCGTAACACAATCTAACCATTTCTAACCTAATCTAAATCAAGCTAACCTTTCCAAACCTAACCTAATCTAAATCAAGCTAACCTTTCCAAACCTAACCTAATCTAAATCAAGCTCACCTTTCCAACACTAACCTAATCCAACCATTCCTATAGTAACACAATCTAACCATTTCTAACCTAATCTAGATCAAGCTAACCTTTCCAAACCTAACCTAATCTAAATCAAGCTAACCTTACCAAACCTAACCTTATGAACTATTCCTATAGCAACACAATGTAACCATTTCTAACCTAAACAACCTAACCAAATCTAATCATTCAAAACTAACCAAACCCAATTTAACCATTCTTAATGTAAAAGGAGGTATCAGACAACGTATGAGATGAATCAAAATAAATATAAAAAAAATTTAATTGATTAATAATTTTCTAATTACCTGATGAAGCATGAAGGATACGCACGGGTGCGTTGAAAAATATTCTCGAAATTTTGAAAAAGCAGTTCGAGGGCGATAAGTAGTTAAGTCGTTTCGTATTATTGTGGCCTGCCTGTTTTCATTATTTCGCCATTTTCATTTTGTAATAATTCTGGTTCAAACTCATCACTGAATATGACAAGTCGAAACGCGTTTGACAGATCGAAACGTTCGTGAAGGACCAAACTGCCCGCAGACTTCACAATTTTTTGACACAAGTGCAGCGAAAAATCTGGAGTAGTGTTTGCAACATGCAAATCTAAAATATGTATCAACAAATACTACACAAATAATTACATATTTTCTAACATAAAATTATTTCGAAAATTAGGAATCTTTCAATAAGCAATGGAAATAAACAGGGGGGGGGTCTCTAAAAAAATCTGCAAATGTGGACTAAACTTTTGAAATCTTCAAACATATGTCTACTTTCATTTCTGCAATTTAAAAAAAAAGTTTTTCTTTATCTTCTTTTCATCATTAACTCACAATTTATCAAACGAGATTTCCGGACGATACGTTTATCCATATGTTTTAATTAAATTCACCCTGTGTAAAACTACTTCTTAAGCTCTTCCAGCTGATTGGCCAACTGTTGAACTAGCTCAAGATAGAAATCACGTGAACTCGAAAAGGGGAAAATAATGTAAAATCGTCTCAGCCCACATAATCATGCTAAATCCGAGACATGAAAAGGGGGGACTGAGGGTGTAAATCAAATATGCCACTTTCACTTCACTGATCCAGATTCGGATCGAGCCAACCCCCTTATACGATCCCAACCTTATAATGTTTACGGAGAGAAAGTATGTTCTAGACAAGCCGAGAATCATTAATAATGTTTAAGGAGGACGTAATGTCCAATCAGTCATGTCAAAAATTGACATGAAAAACGTATAAATGCGTTCAAGTATGGAATTCAATGATCGATTGAATCAACAATCCAACAGTTACAACTGATCATTTGGTCCGCCTATTTTCGCTGTGTTGCACGTCAGACTAAACAATGAACACATCAAACAAGGAAGCAGATTACTCCAAGCATAAAAGCATTAAAATTTGTTTTTACAAAAGGGAAATATTATATGTGATGTGTTAACAGGCCAAAATGGTAATTAAAATCAACAATAATTCACTAAGAAAAATCTAAGCTCGGAATGTTAAAATAAACCAGAAGGGGGCCTTAATAGAATTCAAGTTGTAATAGGAAGTGCCTCATCTCGGCAGGAATTTGCAAATGAGGTAAAGGAGTGCGGGGGAGGGTAGAAAGGAGCCACGAGAGGGTTAGAGAGGGTAAGATGACAAGTTTGAAATGGAGAGTAGAGTAATCTGAGGGAAGTCAATGGTGGCTAACGAGTAGATGGCGGAGAAACATCCCGAGCTCATCAGCTTTTCTTCAAATAATAAATATCGCACTTCCCCACTCGGTTTCCCTTCCTTTTTATCAATAATCGGCTGTTTTTGCAAAATTAGGAATTAAGAAGAAGAAAAAGTTAAAGTTTTCGTGTTTGACCGTTTCCAATTACACTGGTCTGACAGTACACGATGTTTTGCCTCACCCTGCTTATAACTCTGACAAACCAATTGACATTTATTGTACTAGTGCTCAAATCCAACTACTGTAGATGGCGAAATTCGAAAACAAGTGAGATAAAAAATCAGACCAAATTAATCGTAGGTCGTACAACAAGTCATCATACTTCTCAATCAGAAGGACCGAGCACCGCTGATGCAACATAAACATTGGTCCAACAACTTTGTTTTATTCTTTCAGACTGCTTGTAAGAGTTTTTCGAGAAAAAGAATGCCGAGATGTAGCAAAAGGTTTTGACCGTTCTCAGACATCTCGACTTCATTCAAAATCAGGATAGTAAGGTAAGGTTCCCGCATACTCGGTTATCCTAAAAAGGACTCTGAGGATCTTTAACGTCCGCACCTGGCCTATTCGGCCTTATCGAACATTTTGATTCTTCATCAAGATGAGAGCTGACAAACCTCCACATACGACAGAATAGTGTTACTGCCGCAGCATTGGTGTAGAGGCAGCTCAACCCCGAAGGACCAAGACAACCTCGCTCCCCGCTTGTCCATTCCAAGTGGTCGGATCTGCATTGAGCACCAGACCGTATGCCGCGCGCAAGGGATAACCAGACCGTCACCAACCCCCTAGAGGTCACCCGGGCACTCCCTAGATAGAGAAGGCCACTCTATCTCCCAGAGTATTGGGGCTTCACCAGCGTCGAAGCTTCCGGATCCGCTCCGGCCGCGGTTTCGTTAATTTCTAACCACCCCCTAGAGGAGTACCGCCTACGATAAAAACCTCCC